TCCACCACCAAATTGGTTTTCGCATCAGTGCGTGGAACCGTGCTGTGGGGCACGTAAGGACCGACTCCTTAGGCTAACCGGTCAAGTGAATGGGCGCCGATCGCACAGCACGTGGAGCCGGTGTTAAGAGGTGTTGCAGCTATTAGGAAGAAGGAGGTGATTGTCGGGCCGCGTTATCTGCCACAAAGTAAGGCGTTCCACTGTCTGCGCCTGAGCTGCAACTGAGTTCGATAGATTCTGTGCATTGTGCTCGGATGTAATGACGGCGACACGAGACTAATCGGGGTGTTTCATGCCAACTATCAACCCCATAGACAGTCCATCGTGTCCGTCCACGTGCATTGGGTCTGTACACCTGCCCGAAAAGCAGGCATGCAATTGGAGGAGGTGAGTGACGCGTCATCAGGGAAGTTTGCCTCAAGCAAAAGCCTCAGTGTGCTTGTGTCCAGCATGTTTTTATGTTGAGGAACAATTGCTACCTTACACGTTAAATAATGTTTCGAATGAATTAAACATTATGCTTTTATGGGCTTTGTGGTTATTTTGAGACTAATTTTAGAATTTCTTTTTGATTATTACTTGCATAAATGATAAGATTTAATGCATTTTCTGGGAATGGCATTGTTTCTTTCCTTCATTTACCGATAGTGGCAAATTCGTTTGTCCGTAACTGTTTGTCTTTGCGTTAAACATTAGCAAACTGAAAAGGGCTCTTTGGGATGAGTTTTACTTGTCTATGCCATTAGGAGCACATTCCATTTTTTAAAAAGGATTAAGATAAGAAAGTTAGGCAGTGTGTGGTTTTCATAAGCAGCAGTGCTTAGCACTACTGGCAAGCTGTGGGGGTTCATTCTTTTCCGCAAATTTGTATCGTTATTATGCAAATCTTAACTGTTTCTTTTGTTTCTGTTTGAACTTGCGCTGTCTAAACAAATACTTGTTTTCATTATCCTATGCTTTTATTGCGCTATTTCCCGCTTTCTCCCATTCTACATTTGATTTGGTGCCCTGAAAATGGAAAAGGTGGCATAGACGTGATGTGTGTACAGGATTGTACGGCTTATGAAGTCTCAAGGATCGTGATATTTGGATCAGCTTTGGGATTGAAGCGGTATGCAACATTATTTGTACGCTTCTCGCTTAAAAGGTGTATTTTGGACAGACGTCTATTACATTACACTGTACGATGAGAAAATAAATTACGAAAATTTAAATAATTGATTATAGTCTTCTCGAGAAAACGCAACCATTCTGGTGTGATACAATTCGTAATTACTTTGTACTGCCGAAGAAAGAGGTTATTTAGTGCGGAGTCTGTTTTCGCTTCATTTTCTGGACGTTGGAGGGAATGTGTGACACTCCGCTACACTTGTAACAACGTACAAACTACAAAAGTTGAGGATGGTTTCAACGCATACACCTTATCAAATTCTAGCGTGCATGAGCTTTCGGTTTGCTTGTAGGGGATTTGCTTTTAAGTTGCTTGAAACTTTCCTGGCTACAAATATGTAATACTAGCATTCCAGGGGCTCCTGGTTTCCCAAACATAGTTGGTGGACTGTGCCACCTGGGGTGAGCAAAGCCCGGAGTATGAAGCTTCCACTATACGGAAGTAAAGAAGTAAACAGTTAATTGATGCGCATCGTCCAAAGCGCTTGCACTGATCAGTCTTTCACTTCGGCATTACAACGAGGCCAGCTCTCTAACAAAAACGTCCACAAATCAACCAAGCTAGTTACTGAAGCTGCGGCGGCACTAGCCCTCTTTAGAAGTTCCACCGATCCTTCACTTTCTTTCCGCACACAAATCGTATCTGGAATAGGAGCAACACGCTAGCATTAGTGGCACAAACTATTCCATAGACAAGTTTTTTTTGATAAGGAAAGTGGCTTAAGTGGGTTTTCAAAGCATAAGGCATAGCTTTCATGCCTTTTAGATCCCTTTTCACCGGCAATGCCTAATCACTGCAGCTAGCAGAGAGATCTGGAAGAAATTTATTGCCCGCTGTGCTGGCAGTATTCTGAGGATGGCGTAAACGGCTCCAAAAGTGTATCAATAAGATTATTTGCCTCTGAGTGTTTGTAATAGCTGGAGCAATTACGATAGAGGACCTCAACCTTGACCCTTGTGTTAGGAGCCAATGTTTGGTCCTCACTAACAGAAATCTAAAATAATCTTCTTTCATGTAGGGCTTAATTTCTGGTATTATCAATGCGGAGTCTTAGTACAACAGCTCTGCGGAGGTACCAAGGGATGTATTTAAGTGGAAGAAAACTACTGCATGAAACCCATTACCTTTACTTCACTTCGTATCAAGACCAACTTTATTCCATTTTAGGTTCCGCTACCACGCAGTCAAATGGCTTTCATGTGTTTTAGGCGGAATGGGAGAGGACCTCTGCGGACTAAACCTTAAGTTACAGAGCGGCAGCGCTCCAATGCTATTCCCAGTCCTCCTTCAAATGCTGAACTTTCTATTGAGTGCTAAGGTAAAAAACCTATAGTAGGTTTTTATAAATCTTTTGCATTTAGCCTGGTCTTCTGCACTGGCACCAAGACAGCTCCGCCAAAATCCACACACAAAGCACATAATTAAGGCTGTAATGCTTTTTCATTTTCTCACAAAAATGCACTTGTTAGGGCATTTAGTTTACGCCCAATGAGGCAGTTAGGCATATGCGTGCTAAATTTCAACAGAATTAGCAAACTCCTCCAGTGAGTGGCCTTTGTTCACCTTTCAAACCAGACGTTGTGCAACAGCACTGTAATGTAGCAGCGCTTAAGTGTTTCGCTTCTTGTCGACGAAACATCCACTTCTAGTTGCATTTTATGGAAATGAAGCAGACTGAACCAACATTTGAGTCGATCTGTAGGAAGAGATCGGATGCACGACATGGTGACTCAGCACCCTTTAGTTATCCAACTTTTGGTCAAACCATTTCCAATAGTTGAATGTAGACATGGTTCTGGAGCAGGAAATGTGCTGTCAACACGGGGTAAGGATTGGTGAAGGCACGAAACAGGAAACAACAACATAACTCCTTTGTCAAAACTGATTGTTAAATTCAAAATTAAGGCGTCCACAAAAATGGATCCACTTTGCTACGGTGGTCTGAGGCCTTTTAATTCATCAAGTTAGACTAGGGTTTAATCGTTAACACATTGGACGAATCACCGTTAAATTGAATCCCTAGTTTCCACAGTACTATCTCTTCTGGTTGCCCTAAGCGCCTAACGAAAAATGACTAGATCCGACTTATCCCCAGCTGATTTTTGTAGGTTAAGCAACTGCAGCAGTAATGAAAGGTCTAGAAATTTTGCAAAATGTTGATCCAATGCACTCGACTGCACCAGACCAACTCCTCATCAGCTAAGCTATTACTAAACCCATGAGATCCGAAGGCGGTGATAAGTCTTTCTACACCTTCGTTGCTTCACACAAGCCGTACATGGTCCAAAAACCGTTTCATTAGTTACAAAAACCCTCTCATTGCTGTTAATGCCTGTTTTGTCTTGCCGATGTGACTTCCTACTGCCTCAGGGAGGATCCAAAATGCCACAACGTAATGCTTGAAGCTCCTACTTCTGTCCAAGATTTGGTCAAACACGGCAAATCCCTCTCACATCCACATCTGTATCACCTAAGTATGATGATGTTGTTCGTGTGCGACAAAGAGTCTCCCGTCCTAAACATGCCACTACGTAGGCAGAGGAGCAAGAATTTGACTCAAATTTCCTTAAACATCTACCGAGAGGGTGACTACTAAAGGATCACAAATGTGTTAGCTATCGAGACTAAAACCTTAGGGCGTGCCAATTCATGTGTCATGAATTGAAGTCGCCCCATTTTTTTAAACGCTAGGGCGCGATTGTGTCGAGACTAGCCGCGGTGATCGACCTCAAAGATTGCATTACCGACATTCAAGCAGTGGTGGCAAACGATATCGAACTCAGTGACAATGGCGTAGACGCTATTGGATTCAAAATGATACCAAGGGACAAGCGCTCGGCGAAAGCGAGTGGCAAAAGTCCATTTTTGATCATTCTGTGTTGGATCGCAATAGTTTAAAGTACAATGGCTTATCGCGAGCAATGCCATATTACACATTTTATTGATGAAGGGCTAACAGGATTGCCTCTGGTCAAGTTAGTGATGACGGGAAATGTTGAAATGTGATGAGATTCCAATCATCCAACGACCCAAATAACTGTGATGTTCATAGCCGCAGTGCTTCTACACTAACAAATTGATCGTGTCAACTTGACATCATAATCATTTATACCCAAAAAGAGAAAAGCATACTCAAAACAGCTGCTTATATGCAAACAAGCTACATGTGTTACGAGATGAGCAGTCCCTCAAGCGCCTCTGAAATGAGCCCAAAACCAACTAAAAGTAGTGGCCAGATCAAAAAGAAGGATTACTTACGCACACTCAACACAGACCAAAATTGGCTGAAAACAAAAGCTGAACGTCAAAAAATACAACTGAGGCTGTCCATGCGAATATCCACAGCGAAACAGCTAAGTAATTTGGTTGGAGGTTTGTGTACATTACCGTTTGACTCAACAAGGTTTCACGTTTTGATAGGTCAAAGCTTTGCTGCACAAAGACGGCGCTTAAAAGGCATGACTGATCTTTTCCCGAATATCCAACCCTAGACAAATTCTTACATGTTCCCTTAACAGCCCCTCGATTTCATCAAGAAGTGCATTGTGACATAACTAATTATAACTTTAATGTTCAACCCCATATGGGATCATGCGCCAAAGACTCATATTCCCTTGACATTCCATGTGGCATAATATTTCATTCTTAAAAAACCAAATTTTTTAACACTTTAGCCATCTTTTAACTGAGTCCAACAATTTGTGCAACCATCAAACACTTAGCATACGATGTATTTAATTCAAAGAAAAGAAGCGTACCAAACCTTTCAAAGGCACATAATGATAACTAAACAGTGATTCTCAAGCCAATCAGTACCGCATCATGTCATTCATGATGATTTGTTGGTAATCTTGGACTCCAGACAGTCCATTGAAGTTTTTTTCCATGATCTAATTCCCTTGATGAGGACAGTTAAGGGGACAGCTCCCATCAATGGAATGAAGAAGCAGCTGATCACGTTTGCAGTAGTCACTGGCAGCGAGAGTTGAGCATACTGAATGCATGAGAATGCACCAGCCAGAGATCCACTGATGCCATAAAGTGTGCCAAATTGCTCGATTGGAAAGGCAGTCATAATAAAGGAGCTGATGGTGCTAAAGAGGAAGCCGCGCATCACTACCAGAACGAAGTAGTTGACATAGAACACCTGCTCATAAGGAAGAAATACGAAAGCACTAAGAAGCGTAGCCGCCGTGGTTACAACAAGCATCGGCACTGCATGAGGACAAAGTCTTAACCAGAAAAGAGTGCCATTGACGCCAAGAGCCAGACACTTGGTCAGGAAGGGCCGCAGACGTGAACGAAGGTAATCAATGGTGAAACCACATGCCATTCCCGCAAAAATTCCACCGGCTAAGGAAAATGAGAGAACTTGAGCCAAGCGCTGTCGAGTTGCTGGTTGGGTTGGAAACTGGGCTTCCGTCAGAACACCAAACTGCGTCAAGAAGAAGGTGAAACGAACCATTGCAAAGGAGAAAAAACATGTGATAAGAAGAAAAGGGAGGGACCGCAGGGAGGCTAAGACTGTTGGATAGTAGCTGCGGATTATGTCAGATATTTGTTCTTCTTGTTCCGTCAATTTCGAAGGCGAATCGCTCTTATTTTCCTCATCGTCATCACCAAACTAAAAAATTGATTACCAGAAACATTATAAGACCAGACTGTGGTTTTCTTCGAATTATTTGATATTCGTGAAGACGGATTAAGTGATTACCCAAATAACTATGGGACTGTATGCAATCGTATTGTTCATACAAAGTTGAAATTACAGTAACATAACTAGTAATTCAAAAAGCGAGTTAATGCAAAAATAAATAACCAAACATAAAATAAAATGTTGATTCTGTTTAATGAAAAATTAATTGCATTCAACGATACGATGACCTAAGAGTTGCACTTCGAAATACTGATCACGTAAGGATTACAAACATCACATGTTATTGATACGAGCATCGAGAACGGCAACAGACTACTAATTCAATGGTAAAAGTAATGGAGAATGCCTACTAGCTATGATAAATTCTGATTCAACAAGAGCATGCTTAATGAAACGTCATTGTACTGTATTTATATGAAATTGCACGTGCATACCACTTGCGGTCCCGATTCATTCGACCCTGAGGGTAAGGCAGACCTTTCGTAAAGGAGTGTCGACATATCCGACAGACGATATGTAGCAATAAAGAGACTGCTAAATGTATTCATTGCCAAACCCACTCCTGCGAGTAGGAAGAAAGTTAATTTATAGGAAAAGCCTGCGTCATAAGCAATCGCGAAAACAGCAAACACTGATGAGGCCGCATCGTAGGAACCAGTTATTAAAGCAAGGACGAAAACCGAAGTCTTCGTAAAGAGTTTTGAAAAGGAAAAATTGCAAATGAGACCAGCCATTCCACCAACGCAAATGAACGACCCTGCAGGGAAAATCAGCCAAGAATTTGTGGCACCAGTAACTGCAAAGAGGACCGCTCCAATGGAGAATAGCATAGATGCACCTAGTTTCACAATACGAAGGCCTACACGATCCACGAGAAAACCAACAATAAATAGCATGACCATTTGGGCAACCATGTAGGTTATGAAGGCATAACCGTACATTGTTGTCTGCTCAGTGCAGCCAGAGGTGAAATTCACACTTTGGCCACAAAGATATGCAAAAACTCCTTCTTTTTGAAGAACAGGAGTAAGAACATTAAAACCAAAAATGATGCCTCCAAAGAAGAGCATTTCCAATATGCCGAAAATGATGGCAAGAACCTGACGCGACCGCAGGCCCAAAACCCTATCAAGTTTGCCACCTAAAGAGCAAAAAAGAAAAAGTAATTAGGAAGCTGCAACAATTAGGCTCAGCAAAAAGCTAATCAAATCAAATAAGAACAAGAGATGAAACTTAGAAAGCTAAAAAATTACAAGAAACGAATTATTTCCCAACCATGGTCAAAGTGCAAGCACAACAAAAATTACATGCAACCACAAATTTTTTCAGATCGATCAAAGATGCTTTGATACTCCAGTAAGAAACTTCCAAAGGCAACAAAAAATCATTAGCTCAACGTATTTAAATAATTTTCATGATGAACCACAACGCCTGAGCCAAAAGATCTTAAATCATGTACAGAAAAAGTTCGCATTATTTCTTTACAAATAAGAAGCCACCTCCAAGGCAAAAAGAATAAAAAAAATAGACAAGGATTTCATAAAACATTTCCAAGCTTTAGAAAACGCAAACGATAGTGTAAATAAAAATAACCCCCAAATCAGAAAAAACGCCAACCGTAAGGCGACGATGAAGCCACAAAATTTGTACTGCCTTACATCCTCACGTTCACCATCGAAATCATTTAAAAGGTAAAGCTAGTGTAGATGATTAAAAATTTGGAAAACCCAGCATATTGCTGCAAAAGTAAAACATTTAGCTTGTTTGACAGTGCAATATTGAAGAGTACGAAGCCTACAAAATAACGCATCAACAGCGACTTGGTAGCTTCGCAATTCAGGCCCAAAATTACGTTACAGTACTAAAATTAGGCCAATCGTAGTCCATACAGGAAGCATGCTTACGTACTTGACAAAAATACATGGTGAACTGAGAAGTGCAGCGCAGAAGACTACATCTTAATAAAAAATCACAAAAGCTCTAAATGCCTGGCAAAGGCTTACAGCGATCCATTCCGACTCTGGGCACGGCAATACCCAAAACTAAATGAGTGATGACCTAAAAAAGACGGTGATCTTCACTGATTATAACAAATAAAATTAAACAAGTTGTTGATGTCAAGTAATTATTGCTACGCTGTCGTTAGTCTACTCTCATGAAGAAAAATGGCTTATATTTTTTAAAATACACAAATTGTACATATCGGTTCTGTGCTTTTAATCAAGGGTACTAATACCTAGTTGTGCGCAAGGTTTTGTCTTATTCCGGAATGTTAGATGTGCTATCCCTCATCCTGTTATTCCGGTCTTTCATCCCCATTCTTCATAATTAAAATGTAGTTTTTAAGTATTTTTGTACGTCATCTCAAACGAGTACAGACTAAGCATTGGAATTTGGATACGATTGAGGTATCTGTAGCGACCTGAGATAACCCACCGGTTAAAATAAGCAGTAAGCGGGGCGAATACATGTATCTCTATAAGAACAAATCAATTAGTCTTCAACATGGCCCCGGAGCAAGTCCGCGCATTTTGGGGCCAAACAAATCTTAAAGTGATGGAGAAACTGGCCGAATATAGATATGTTGCAGAGATAATGGAATGAGCCACTGTCCCGCATATAAGGAGAACCGTAGTATCATTTCAGACACCAATAAACGGATTTTGATGGGAAAATCTTCCTACATGAAACCTCCCCAGTGGTTAGTAGCTTGTCTGTGCCACACCAGAATGAGGTGAAGCCAAATGACGAGGTCCTTCTCAACCTGTTTGTTGTGAAGGATTCAGAGAGTCTCCGCCATTAATGCAAATGCGTATCTTCAAAACCGTAAGTAAATATAACAAACGATACGTGCTGGGATAGAAGTCGTTAAAAAAATGTCAGGTTCGCTAACTACTGCCACCATTATAGCGCACCAAAACATCCCACCGGGAGAAGAAGGCAGCATATGAGGCTGGATTCCAAATAAAAAAGAGCAAAAGGACCCAAGCATGGTTCAAAGGCCAACCCAAGAGGAAAAGGGCCAGAAAAATCCTAAAGTGACCACAAAAAGCCAGGTAATGACAGAAGCAAAACATTAAATTGGATGGCTTAAAAAATTGCGAGTAGTCGTCTATCCATTCTTTCTGTCAGACTATATGCATTAAGTCAATTGTCAGGCCTTTGATACGTAATAGGAAGTCTAGAGAAAGTGCCATTCGATTTTAGCTACCACCAGGCTAAGTTCTCGCATCCTCCGAGCATGGGATCGAAGCAGAAAACTCATAAAATTCGTAAATCCCTAATATGCCTTCCCTTATGGGAAGTAATTTGGTG